AGTATCTTAGTTGGTAGTACCGCCACCTGTGGCGCGCATAGTCAATCCCCTTGCGTTTGACGTTTTCACACTACCGCCATCTGTTCAGCGTACTACCCACCACAGTGTACTCAACAGATGGCGGATATGTTTTAGCGACGATGTTTTACAGTGAGAAATATTCAATGTGTTATTTCTGTTTGTCTGTGGCTGATCCATGCTTCTACACGAAGATCATCAACAGAAAGCGCGTCTACTTGCTGGTTTATGTGGACGATATTCTGGTTGGCAGTGAAAGCGATGCTGAAATAGAGAAAATCTATAATGCACTGAGACAGGAATTTGAGATGACTGACCTCGGTGATTTGAACTACTTTCTGGGTCTGGAGGTTACCAGATCGGAAGGGAAGTACAGCATCTCTCTTGAAGGCTACATCAACCGTGTGGCTGAGCGATTTGGACTTCGTGACGCAAAGGTTGCGAATACTCCAATGGAAGAAGGATTCACGAAGGCTGACAACAAGAGTCCGCGAGGATGTGACGAAATACAGAAGCCTAGTTAGAGCTCTACTGTATATTGCAGTCTGTGCAAGGCCGGACATTGCAGTAAGTGCTTCAGTATTAGGAAGAAGTGTTAGTGCACCGCGGGAAGAAGATTGGGTAGCAGCCAAGCGTGTTGTCCGATACTTGAAGGCGATGAAACATTCGCGTCTGCAGTACGGAGATCCAGAAGGAAAATTGATGGGGTATTCCGACGCAGACTGGGCCGGTGATTTCAAGACTCGGAAGTCAACGACAGGCATCGTTTTTCTGTATGCTGGTGCAGCAGTGTCTTGGGCAAGTCGTTTGCAGGGCTGCGTGACTTTGTCATCGATGGAGTCCGAGTACGTTGCTCTAAGTGAAGGAAGTATGGCAGTATGGCTTCGAAAGCTGATGGAGGAATTCGGCGAACCTGTGATGGAACCGGTGAAAATAATGGAAGACAACCAGAGTTGCATTAAGTTTGTCGGATCGGAAAGAAGCAGTCGTCGATCGAAACACATCGAGACTAGGAATGCTACGTCAATGAACTTTGTGATGGAAAGATTCTTGAGTTGGTCTACTGTCCGACCGAAGAGATGGTAGCGGACGTACTCACCAAACCGTTGGGCAGGATCAAGTTATTGAAATTTTCTTCGATGCTTGGTTTTGATGCTGGCAATCGTTGAGGAGGAGTATTGGATGGGAGGCAACAATTGCCGAACCCCCAAACGGCCGAACCCAGCAGCGCAAAGCTTGTTTGCGTGCTGTCATAGCGAAAGCACAAATAGAAATGAGAGACGCTTTTCTATGCGATCGCACCGTCTACTGCGATCGCCCATTTTGCTGATTATCGTTTCTTCTCTCGAACTGTACAGATATGTTTAATAAATCAGTTTACTTTTATTATAAAACCAATTAATTCCGGTGTTATTATTGAACCTGCTAGCTCAGCCCAATAGTTTGTACCAAAGAATTGCTAGTTTCGATCCCATGCCATATGAAGTGTATTGATTTCGCTGTTCGTTGCCAATTATCGGGCTGCTATTGATCTAAGAGGAAGATACGACAATACGGGGGCGAAAACGAACCATTTTTCTGTCAAACGTGAACCAGCTCGTGATTGGCCGATTTGAAGTGCGTAAGATAGAGATAGAGATAAAAGAGTAAGAAGCCAGTTGTCTCTTCTGCGGACTGGCTGGTTTTGAGCCAAACGAACTGTCAAAGCCAGAGCCAATCGAGCAGCGCCTATCTTGATTGCATTCGCAGTGTTGCTAGAAACCACCCAGACATATGTTGCCAAGGCAGTTTGTTTTGAATCCGCTCCTCTCTTATACTAGACCCTCTCTAGTATACATGAGTTCAATTTATTTGTAAGTAATCATCAACCAGTCAGCGATCCAGCTGTGATAGAGGACAAAAAGGTATAAAATTTACTCATTGGATTCAAAATGCCCAGAAACCTACCACGTTTGCTATCACGGGTTATTAAGTACACACGCTAGACCTTTTTACACCCTTAGTAAAAATAACCATAAAATAGAGCTTAACGACGTGTTCGGGGTATCATCCAAACCATTTGCGGGATAGTTTACCCATCCGGGATACAGTTCGTTTATGGTATTTGTTTATTAGGGACGGACGTAGTTTAAAAAACAATCAACAATCAATACGAAACTATCGATTTGAAATTGGGTCACTACTTGACTAGCCTATTGGTCCCTAGCAAACGATTAACGTATCCCATTCTAGTTGGAATTCTAATACTACACTATATTTGTTTTGATTCTCTATGAAAGTTTGACAGATAAAATGAGGGGTTCGTGGATTTTCCTATGTTTCGAGGGGTGCATCGATTAACTTGGGGCCGAAGAGCGTACCATAGCTGAGCCAAAAAGTTGAGCAAGTTTCTTCGGGACCTTCTAGTCTTAGAGTTACCTCTATGGTTGTACGTTGTACATCGATTTTGCGAACAAAATTACATCCATTGATGTAGTATTGTATCTGCATTTTGCTATTACATCATACATCAGCTTGAATTACATTGATCGATATTACATTTTTTTTTATGCTGTGTAGCTGAGATCTCGGCAAAATTCCCGTTTGTTAGCCGAATATCAGCGAATTTTTCACTGAGATACAGCAAAATAAAATACAGAGCTGCTCAGTGGTGCCCATCTCGGCAAAAAAATCTAAGTGTATACACACTTAGATTTGTTTTCCGAGATGGGCACCACCGAGCAGCTCGGCAATCTATTTTGCTGGTAAGCGTACTTCGGGTCCCGAAGAAACGTGCTTAACTTTTTGGCTCAGCTCTGGTACTATCTTCGGTCCAAAGCTAATCCATGCGCCCTTCGAAAAATAGGAAAATCCACGAGCCCCTCATTTTATCTGTCAAACTTTCATAGCGAATCAAAACACACATAGTGTAGTACTAGAATTTCGACTGGAATGGGATTCGTTAATCGATTTGCATGGGACCAATTGGCAAATCAAAGTTGGTACTTGTGGAGAATAGAAGAACTATGAAAGTGATGATGGTTTCAAAATTTTACACGGTGAGGTATACGAGTTCAATTTTAAAATGCTAATAATTTGCAAATGGAGCATTTTATTTAAATCTGGTTGATGCTACGTTAGTAGAAAACTTAAGGACTACACAATAGATATACAATATAGAAAAAATAATTTATTTTCAGATTTTTAGGTGTATACATAGATTTCAGCATTTCTACCACTGTAGCAGTAACCAGATTTAAATAAAATGCTCCATTTACAAAATAAAAGCATTTTAAGATTGCACTCGTATACCTCTCCGTGAAAAATTTTGAAACCATCATCACTTTCATAGTTCGTCTATTATCCACGAGTGCCAACTTTGATTTGCCAATAGGCTATTCAAGTAGTGAGCCAATTTAAAATCATTAGTTTCCACCGGTTATACTTAGTCTGACAGTTGGTTTTTTGTTTATGAATATTTTTGGTTTTAAGTGTACATTTGACATTCGTTTGGTAAAAAATGGATTTCACTCGAGACGCATGTCATTCCTTGATGATCTTGCTGACCACCGCTCCTTGTTCTCAAAAATTCGGCATTATTTGTTAGCTGATCTCAGTGCACATAATCGGCCACACTTCCGTTCCCAGGAAATAGTCATTAATTTCCACGGATTCTTCATCGTCTGCGAACCAATGTGCTGTCCTCCAATGGAACGGGAATCGAAGGACTACGCAGCCCCTGTAAACGAAATCCCATAGAGTGATGGTTCCGAGGTCATATTACCATAGAGGTAACTCTAAGACTAGAAGGTCCCGAAATAACGTGCTCAACTTTTTGGCTCAGCTCTGGTACTCTCTTCGGTCCCAAGCTAATCTATTCATCCCTCGAAACATAGGAAAAACCAATAACCCCTCATTTTATCTGTCAATCTTTCATACACGGTAACTTTTGCTTACTCCCCAACAAACAATTTTAGCTACAGACTAGCTTATACAGGCAAAAATTAGCTGTATAAGCCAATTTTCGGCAGTATAAGCTAATCTGCAGCTAAAATTGTTAGTTGGGTCACCAGGTGAGTCGATCGTACTCACTTTCGTCCGATGTATCGAGTTGTCAAAAATTGAGTAAACTAGAAATGTCAAACTGAGTAAAAGCCACTCAGTCAGCAAAATCCTGGCCTTGGAAAAAATGCCAGTCATGTCGGAGGGAAAATGTTACTCAAAACCGGCTGAAATGCCTTCAGGTAAGTACGAATTGCTTAGGGAAACGGTGTTGAACCGTGTTTTGCTCCGGTAGAATGAATCCGAAGCAGGCAATTTCCATTTTCTTGAATGAAAATCAAAACAAAAACCCTCCCCGCAACTGAAAATACCGGCGAGTGGATTTGACTCAGTCTACGTGAGAACGTAGTTTACTCAAAAGTGAGTCAACATAAGGCTACTCAATTTTGAGTAGCCATACTTGCCGCTGAGATGAGTACCTTCGACTCAATTTTGAGTTGACCAGAATAAGCGTGTAGCGAATCAAAACAAACATTGCGTAGTACTAGAATTTCGACTAGAATGGGGTACGTTAATTTTGCTTGGGACCAATAGGCTAGTCAAGTAGCGAGCTAATTTAAAATCGTTAGTTTCGTATTGATTGTTGGTATTACGCTCGATTCGCCACGAGCCTGCAACTTGGAGAGATTTGCTGCTGGGGGAACGTCCAGTACGTCCGTCTGTTTCAACGATGATTCAGTATGTGAAATAAAGCTTACTTATTATGGTCTTCAAATGTCATTCTAAAAAATTGTATGCGCATATTTCGTTTTAAATAGAGATCTCTGAATACTTAAGTGTGCAAGAAATGGGTCAGCCAGCTCTAAAGACCCAATGTATTGGGTTGTTAAACTAGTCCTTAGACAACAAATAACTACTCCTAGAGAAATCACGTGTAAATCTGAAATAATTCGTTAAATAATAATGGGTTAAAGAAAACTGAATAATAAAAAAAACCCGACATCGTGCAAAACTTTCTTTATTCTACTGATATACTCAAAGGAATACCGTGATACGACAACAAAAATAATACTGATTAAATAAAATAACAGAAAAAGGAGATTCTGATTTAAACTAAAACTTGTTTTACAAAATCAGTAGAATACCAAAGACAAGTGCACTTTACGATTCAAAATTAACGATAAAATACTGTTCATTCACGGTGGCTATGGCGAAAAAATGTTCGAGATTGCACATTAAATAAAACACTTAATCAACATCGTCGTCTGCCTCTAGAATAAGCTTGAAGGAGAATGGCTGAAAAACGTATCCAAGGCCCTCGTAGAACTTGCTCATGAACTCGACCCTGAAAACGATAGAAAAAATAGTGCTATTGTATCACAGATTATATGTCATAATACTCACCAATGGAGACGAAGTGTGTGCAAGAATGCTGACAAACCTTCCATCATTACCAAGATTGCCAGAGTAAACAAAGCCCATGCTCCAAACACAAAGTACAGCATAATTGCTCCCTTGTATGAAGATTGATGTAGTCCCATGGAAAGGACCATATTCCACAGCACCTCCGAAAGTTCTGCAAGTATTTATATTATTAGTAAAATTAAGGTGACAGGTTTCGGATAACTTACGAGCATGAGCAAGCGACAAAGCCCACAAACGGAGGTAGGACGCGGTGTGTGATACGGTACTAAGAACGTATTCAATGGTATGAATGGCTTGATGGATGAAAACCTCACTAATCGGTTCGTCTTCGTGTTCTCCGTGTTCAGAAGTTTTCGCAGCCTCCGAAGTATCAAGTGCAGTCTCCGTCTGCTGATTGATGCCACCATTGTGATGAGCAGCAGCCGTTTTCTTCTTGTTGAACATAATGTAAAACGGTTTGCCGAGGAGCATCCAAGGAATACAAACCAAAGCAATGAAGACAAATGTGCGTTGCAAAGAACTTTGGAAAGAGTACATGAACTCTTCACAACCATGCAGAGGTGGTGTTTGCTTGAAAAGCATCATGTTGATGAACATAATCAGCACGGATGGAGCACAACCTGGGGTATTCGGTTGAAAATCGGTCTTGGCCGTGTACTGAATCCATTTCAAAAACATCATGAACACCATGTAAGCAAACAGCAATACTAGGAAAATGATCTGGGGAAGGAACTCCAACAGGATGCTTATGCGCTTGTTAAAGAAGTTATGATTGACAACGCTCATGCAAACGCCGAATATCATATGAACAACTCCGAAAATGATGGACAATTTCATTTTGTAGGAATTAAGGAAAATAATTTTGTTGCTAGCAAGCTGCCAGACAGGATCCAATCCGATAGGATAAACATCATCGATGAGATCCGATGAACCTGGGTTCAGAGTAAGATCTTTGTTTGTCATTATAGTTGATGTGTTGTAGTTGACATTCCAGGAACTTCCAAATATATTCATAGATTTTGAGAAAACGTCGTTGTATACAAATCCAGTATACATTGAAAACAAGCCCATCAGCAAAATGATGTAACGGCCTCCGAAAAAGATGTTCCAAATTTCATTACTGGATTTCTTAGCACCCAGCTTCTTCTCACCGGAGACCATCCAAAAACCAAACAATGCCATTATAAGTCCATGGCCCAGATCGCCAAACATGATTCCGAACAAGAACGGGAATGTAATAATCGTGTACAGTGCTGGATTTGCTTCACGGTACGATGCAATACCATAGGAATCAATTAAATTTTGGAAGCCACGTGTAAATTTGTTGGTTCTGTTGAAGGTAGGCGGCTGTTCGCTTGTTTCAATAACATTCAAGAAAGATGGAATTGTACTTCCAACCGCTGCTGATCCATCCGACAAAGCTTTTTGTACGACTGGAAGGTCAAGAACGGGAACCCAACATTCTCCGATCAAACACTTTTTTGTCACGTCCATGTTGAACAAGTTTAAAGTATGATAAATCGCCTTCATTTTCTTCACCATTATTGTCCAACGTGGCAACTCCTTAGCAACAGTGGATAGTACACGGGAGCGATGATCTTGGGTTTGGTTCAGCACCATGTTCAAATCCTCCAAACGCGTGCGAACACCTTTTACCATTTCTTCGCGTTCGTCGGCGGCGCTCGGACATGGATAGAGTGATGCATGGTAGCCCGTGCAAACTTTCTTGATTCTGGTCTTCAGTTGCTCACCTTGGAAGAAGGCTGCAAACACGGTTTTGTAGATTTCGTTACCCTGTAATGTAATAGCAACATCATGTATTTAAAGTTTTCTCGAAAGTTTAACTAGAAGCCTTACAGTTGCTGGATCTTCCAACGGTTTCTCCAGCTCCACCTGACGCAGAAAAACGTTACCACGCGAGATTCTCCACAACATACGCTCGAAACCGGGTACTTTCTCTCGCTGAATAACGCCAGCGACAAAGCCCAGACGTCCTCTTGTCTGAGCATGAGTTGGATCATCAATAATGAGATTATTCCTGGTGGCATCCAAATTAACGGCACCTTCTTGTTCGAAGAAAAAACCTTGGGTGCGTTCTAACACGTGCTTCAGCTCCGTCAATTCGAGATAATTAGACTTCAAATTGACGGCGTTCTGGGATAGCTCCAAGATTTCACTTTCCGTTTTTTCAAGGTGCGCTTCCAAATCGATTATCTCCCGAGGATTCGGTGCCCGTGGCAGTTCGTCACGTATGTCCGGAATTTTTACATTATCCTTCTTCACCTCGGCCTCCACGTAGCGAAGTTTGCGTTCCATTTCGTCGCATCGACGGACCTCGCTAACGAATTTACGCTGAAATGCGTTTACCTCGGAGTTCAACTGAAAGTGTGTAATTCTTTGAGTAACTATGTATCGTTGACGTCGGAAAGAAGCTTACATCACGAAACTGAACAGCACCCGTTTCACCCAACTCGGAAACGGAAGTGTAAGCTGCCTCCGGTTGGATGAACATTTGGCACAAGGCCATCTCCTCGCTCCTAAACATTGCCCCCATCTTGCTGGGATCAAGGGTCAAGTTTTCTCCGCCTGTAACTAGAAAAAAAAAACATAAAATACATATCATATACATTTTATAGGCGACGAAAGGCACCTATTGAGTCAACAAAACTGATAAGAGCCAGTTCTATACTGAGTTATCCAGCTTAATAGAGCTTGTACGCGTTTTTTTTTTATGTTCATATATATAACTATGGAACTTGCTGTTGCAATGCAACTTTCTGTGCTAAATGCAGCAGTTAAGAGGTATTTTAATGTTCTACGCATCATGTGAAGTATAAGTATATGGTTAGACCAGCTTCTTCCGCTTCGATGGTGATTTTTCATATGTTGTATGTCCTATAAAATAAAATCTACCACCGAGTCCGGACAACTTCCAACTATGAGAACAGGATTTTTAACTAATCAAAGGAACAAATCTTAGTCATTTTTTACTTTTTATACCTTGTTAACAGTGACAAGAATTGGGTTGCTCCAGCGAGGATGATCTTAAAACGAGGAAAAAAATGAATTAGTTAGTCTACATCTATGTGATTCCTAATCTTCTATTCGTTTGTCTCTAGTTTGAGGTGGTTGAGACTAGAATCCCGACACGTGTTCAATATCGGTGTGATTTCTTAATTTTATTCCTAAGGAATCCGATTTTGACTGTCAAAGGGGCGGCGCGCTGGAGGGTGCTCAAATTCTTCGAATGGTATAAATAGCGGGACCTTTCAATTAGAATCGGTTGTTTGCGATGATTAAAGATTAGATTTCTGTATTAAAGAGACTTTCAGCCGTGAGCTGGTTCGTCTTTGGGTTCCTTGCGGTAAAAACAAGAATGACAACTGTATCAAATCAGAATACTTCATCATTTCTCAATTCTGATGGAGTAACACGACATGCAATAAATAAATAAACTGGTCGCAGTGGTTGTATGTTCCGAACAGAGGAAAAATTAAATGTCATATACACAGTTCTAGAAGCTTTACTCCGTAATTTGTGATTCGGCCCTGCAACAAGGGAAGACACCTTACATTATCTGATCACTTGGAATGATATTTCCCAAGACAGTGACAGAAAATCCGCTGTTCACTCATCGAGCTAAACCGAATGGTATGTATAACACCTCCATTATCGTACGTGATTATATATCAACTTTTAGCATCGAGGTGTAAATTATAATTCACATGGCTACAGACGAAAGAAAAAAATAGCTTGAAAACTTTTAATACACGTGACATCTACTAACGTAGCTGGTATATTCTAGACAACATTCGGCAATTTATTTAAAATATTCAGCTACAATCGGGGCTACTGCTTGGAGGGTTTGGGATCTCACCTACGTTTGTTGTAGCCTTTCATTTTTTTTTAAATATAAACTGGAGTTTACATGGCCAGATCAAAATTCAACGTTAAAGGTTGTCACTGGGGTCTATTGGAATCTCCCTTGATCGAATGACCAAAAAATGTATTGCTCCAGTGAGTTGATCTATTTGAAGAGGGATGAGAAGGAAAACTTTGCATTGATTTTCGGTTAGAAAGCACTTTCTTTTCTAACGATTGTTACACTAATTGTCATATGATCATGTCATGGTGTCAAACCTTATAGTTTTTCCTTCTCTACTGATACTAAATGTCTAGTTCCACACACGATGCAGACATTGAATGCCGGTTTCATTGAATATATTTTTAGATTAGTTTTCCCTCTATTATTCGTAGACAGCACAAAGAATGAAATATTTTCCTCCGTCACATGACCTCCATGATGTTTTACTACTGCCGATGTGTGATCATGTGACATGATCGTTGAACGTTCTATACATGATCAATTATCATATTCGTTCTTTAAACATTCTTCAGTGCATACGCGATTTTAAGAATAACACAAATGGATTCTGTTCGACCGTGTGATTTGACGAAGGGGCTGTTAATAAACCACGTAGATACTATTAGTGAAGCTGGCAAGTGTCTACGGATCATATAAAATTTACAAAACTTTGTCCACGCAGGCTAAAGAGTCTCAAAAATCTTTTAAAAATCATCCACGTAGTATATGGATAGCACGCCTAAGTAACATAAAACACACCACTTAATCAAGGAAAAAAAAAACTTGAGCAAATAAAAACTCAAGAAAGTATACTAACCGTCGAATGCAACCAACCGCGACGATTAACCTTTTTGTGTCGGCTCTTTCACTTAGTCGATAAATTTCCGGTAATGTCCGAAATTTTACGGGCGATGTTACATCTGCGAAAGGCAAAGCACTACTGAACGATCAAACCGAATAAAAGTGTTTGATAAGCCAGCAAATTAATGTACATGAACGTCCACAGCCAGCACGAATGATGTGTAGTTATTATTAAACACTATTGTTGGCATATGTCACACAATTTCGATATGGCTATTAGACTACTAACGATATTTTGCACCGAAGATTTTCCATACATACGTGGACCTAAGCAACACACGCGTATTTACTCCTATGTATAGAGCAACTGATCACATGGTCTGGTCGTCGACTGGAGCGTGATAATAGCAAGAATAATAATAATGCCACGATCGATAGAATCATTTTTGTAAACAATACACATCACATGGAAAGAATCTGATCATCTTGAACTTGCGCTCTCTCTTTCTCTCTCCCAATTCTCTCGTCCGTTTATTCTCTCCAAGCCACTGATTGGTACCACACACTGAAAAAAGTTTTAACATAGTATTTATTTATTCGAAATACTCAGAGGGAGAGATAGGCGGAGAAAACAAAATACAATTCGGCAGCAGGGATTTGTTCCTAAATTATCTTGCAACCCTTGCTAGAAGCTAGCATTTCAAATGACTTGTATTTTTGATTCGATTTACGTGCAAAATAATAATTGATTGCATCGCAATTGGCAAATCAAAGTTGGTACTCGTGGAGAATAGAAGAACTATGAGAGTGATGATGGTTTCAAAATTTTACACCGTGAGGTATACGAGTGCAATCTTAAAATGCTTTTATTTTGCAAATGGAGCATTTTATTTAAATCTGGTTGGTGCTATGTTAGTAGAAAACTTAAGGACTACTCAATAGACAAATAATATAGAAAAATTAATTTCTTTTCAGATTTTTAGGTGTACACATAGATTTGAGCTTTTCTACCACTGTAGCAGCTACCAGATTTAAATAAAATGTTCCATTTGCAAAATAAAAGCATTTTAAGATTGCACTCGTATACTTCCCCGTGGAAAATTTTGAAACCATCATCACTTTTATAGTTCTTCTATTCTCCACGAGCGCCAACTTTGATTTGCCAATATTTTGCACATTTCTTAGTGCCATTCATTAACCAACGAAGATCAATTAATCAATAGAGTTAGAATATTGTTTTTGATTCCAAAAACTAGTTGAATTTGAGAATCACACAAAACACAAAGGTGATTGAATTTCTGTTCGATTGCAATACTCTCAAATTTATTCTAGTAAGAATAAGAAATCCTCCGAAAAATTCTAATTGGAATTTTCGATTGGCTCAGATTTTGACAGTTCATTTGGCTCAAAACATTCTCTCCGCCCATCTCTCCCTTTGAGTATTAAATACTGTATTAAATATGTGCGTTCCTAATAGTACGTTCAGACTACAGAGTTATAACAACAATCAATACGAAACTAACGATTTTAAATTGGCTCACCTCTTTAGTAGCCTTTTGGTCCCAAGCAAACGATTAACGTACCCTATTCTAGTTGAAATTCTATTACTACACTATGTTTGTTTTGATTCGCTATGAAAGTTTGACAGATAACATCAGGGGTGTGTGGATTCATGCAGAACATGCAGGGGTGAGTGAAATAGCTTGGGACTGCTTGGGACCGTTGTTCTGGTACTGAGTGAGCCAAAAATAATAATGATTTTCTTCGGGACCCAGTGGTCTTAAGCGCTGTCCAGACTGAGCAGTTATAACATGTTATAACGGTTGTCAAATAATTGCAACACAGAAACCACCATCAAGATAACACTATAACATGTTATAACTCTATAGTCTGAACGTACTATTAGAGTTAAACGCTGTCCAGACTGGAGAGTTATAACATGTTATAACGGTTGTCAAATAATTACAACACAGAAACCACCATCAAGATAGCGCTATAACATGTTATAACTCTGTAGTCTGAACGTACTATTACCTCTATGGTTATAACATGTTATAGCGCTATCTTGATGGTGGTTTCTGTGTTGCAATTATTTGACAACCGCTATAACATGTTATAACTCTCCAGTCTGAACAAGGCATAAAGCGCTGTCCAGACTGGAGAGTTATAACATGTTATAACGGTTGTCAAATAATTGCAACACAGAAACCACCATCAAGATAGCGCTATAACATGTTATAACGAGTTACCTCTATTAGTACGTTCAGACTACAGAGTTATAACATGTTATAGCGCTATCTTGATAGTGGTTTCTGTGTTGCAATTAGTTGACAACCGTTATAACATGTTATAACTCTCCAGTCTGGACAGCGTTTATGTTATAACTCAGTAGTCTGAACGTACTAAAGGGTGATACGGTCAAAATTTGGTCAATATCAACTTGACGTATTTCTTTCAATTTTGCATTTAAAAAACCTGAACACCCCTCATTTTGAAGGTGTGTGTGTGTAGAATGTTGCTCCTATTTTGATTTTGGAATTCACTCTTCAGTTGTCAAAATGCCGTCCAAGCAAGAAGAGCAGCGTATCAAAATTTTGCTCGCGCAACGCGAAAATCCGAGCTACTCGCACGCAAAGTTGGCAAAATCGTTAAAAGTTGCCAAATCAACCGTTACAAATGTAATTAAAGTGTTTGGGGAACGTTTGTCGACAGCCAGGAAGTCTGGATCGGGGGGAAATCGAAAACCGGAAGCCGCTGAGACGACAAAGAGAGTTGCCGGTAGTTTCAAGCGAAACCCTAACCTCTCTCTCCGAGATGCCGCAAATAAGCTGGGTGTATCGTCTACAACCGTGCATCGAGCCAAAAAACGAGCCGGACTATCGACTTACAAGAAGGTAGTGACTCCAAATCGCGATGATAAACAAAATACGACGGCCAGAGCGCGATCCCGGAGGCTGTACACGACGATGCTGACGAAGTTTGACTGCGTGGTAATGGACGACGAAACCTACGTCAAAGCCGACTACAAGCAGCTTCCGGGACAGGAGTTTTATACGGCAAAAGGTAGGGGAAAGGTAGCAGATGTTTTCAAGCACATGAAACTGTCAAAGTTCGCAAAGAAATATCTGGTTTGGCAAGCCATCTGTACCTGTGGCTTGAAAAGCAGCATTTTCATAGCTTCCGGGACTGTCAACCAAGAAATTTACGTGAAAGAGTGTTTGAATAAACGTCTGCTGCCTTTCCTGAAGAAACACGGTTGTTCCGTACTGTTTTGGCCGGATTTGGCATCTTGCCATTACGGTAAAAAGGCCATGGAGTGGTACGCCGCCAACAACGTGCAGGTGGTTCCCAAGGACAAGAACCCTCCCAACACGCCAGAGCTCCGCCCAATTGAGAAATACTGGGCTATTGTCAAGCGGAACCTAAAGAAGACCAAAAAAACTGCTAAGGGCGAGCAGCAGTTCAAGGTAAACTGGCTTTCTGCGGCGAAGAAGGTGGACAAGGTGGCTGTACAAAATCTGATGGCAGGGGTCAAGCGTAAGGCCCGGCAATTCGGATTTGGAAAAGCGGAAGCCTAACTGAATATTTTTCCTGAATTTTATACTAATTGAACTTGAAAAAGAAATTTAATTTGATTTTTTAAATAAACGATTTCACCGATTTACACGCGTTTTCCCTTGACCAAATTTTGACCGTATCACCTTTATAAAGCGCTGTCCAGACTGGAGAGTTATAACATGTTATAACGGTTGTCAAAAAATTGCAACACAGAAACCACCATCAAGATAGCGCTATAACATGTTATAACTCTGTAGTCTGAACGTACTATAATAGATACTAGAAATTTTCTAGTATCTATTAGGAACGCACATATTTTTTTTTTTCCAATAATATAGTTAATGATTTTTATCTGAATATCACATAACATAATAAATTCTATGTGAATATTCATATAGATTTCATTGGACACATAAAGTTCATGAAATTTGGTGGTACGATTTCCAATTATGGGATCACATGAAAGTTATTTAAGATATTTTCCAATGGTTATGTGAATTATTAGGTCCGTTACCGAAATCTGAACAGCTGACCTGTTCGGTAAAATTTATGCAATTCAATTCAATTGCTTTTCAGACAAGATTTGATTATTTAAACAAGGTTGACGATGTTTTGAAAGTATTTTCATGTTCAATAGACTTTAAAATTAAGGTCAAAATTTTACCGAACGTTCAGCTGTTCTGATTTCGGTCAAATTTACCGAACACGAAAACAAAATCTTAGTGTGTAGATCGATCAGCCCAAAAATTAAGATTCATTAAAGTTAGATTAAAATAAACATCTCCTCCAATTTTGGTCCAAATCGGAAGAGGTCAACTTCACGTGCCTCGGACACTTGGCGTGGAATGACCCATATTATACAGGGTGTTTGGTTCCGGGTTTTACATATTTTCAGGGTAGATAGGGCTTCTAAAGTTATGAAAAAAATCCCCATGAAACATAGGGTCGGAAATGACTGCTGAGTGAGTTATTCAACATTTTATGTTTTTTTTTATTTCCAACTTCTTCTTCTTTCCTTTATTTAACGTCGGTCTCTGTTCCGCAATCTAGTGTCAATCACCGACGGACATCGATTGCCATCCATTGACAATCACAAATTACGTCCCCATGGTAACTGAAATAAACACGAGTGCGGACCGGTTGACTAAACGAAGCCTGATGGGTCAACCAGGCGAATAGCGTTTTAAACGCTGTCCAGACTGGAGAGTTATAACATGTTATAACGGTTGTCAAATAATTGCAACACAAAAACCACCATCAAGATAGCGCTATAACATGTTATAACCAACAATCAATACGAAACTAACGATTTTAAATTGGCTCACCACTTTAGTAGCCTATTGGTCCCAAGCAAACGATTAACGTACCCTATTCTAGTTGAAATTCTATTACTACACTATGTTTATTTTGATTCGCTATGAAAGTTTGACAGATAACATCAGGGGTGTGTGGATTCATGCAGAACATGCAGGGGTGAGTTTAATAGCTTGGGACTGCTTGGGACCGTTGTTCTGGTACTGAGTGAGCCAAAAATAATAATGATTTTCTTCGGGACCCAGTGGTCTTAGAGTTACCTCTATGTTATAACTCTGTAGTCTGAACGTACTATTAGCATAGAGGTAATAGTACGTTCAGACTACAGAGTTATAACATGTTATAGCGCTATCTTGAGGGTGGTTTCTGTGTTGCAATTATTTGACAACCGTTATAACATGTTATAACTCTCCAGTCTGTACAGCGTTTAACTCTAAGCGCTGTCCAGACTGAGCAGTTATAACATGTTATAACGGTTGTCAAATAATTACAACACAGAAACTACCATCAAGATAGCGCTATAACATG